CTGAATGTGCTGCACACAGACCGCCTCATGATTCAGTTTGCACGATATTCGAGACATCGCAGTATATTTTCATAAAGAAAACTACTCACAAGGTTGCTGAAAACTCTTCGACAGTCCACGACCAGTTTCGCCACTCTTGGGTCTCATCAGGTAGGCGAAGTCCCCGAGTATCCGTCAACCTTATGTTCATAAAAGAGAGATTCAGTTTAGTCTCTCGTGGAAAACAAATTGATTTGCAACTGAGTGTATTTCTCGAAAACGGTCCGGTTTGGGTTCACGTAGAACATAAGGTTGACGGAAACCCGGGGGCTGCGCCTACCTGATGAGCCCCAAAAAGGGCGAAACCGGTCGTGGGCTGTCGAAGAGTTTTCGGCAACTTGTGAGTAGTTTCCTTCGTGGGTGGCTCTTGTTTATTTTCATCTTTTGATCCAATCATTCCAAAAAGCAAATTGCAACAAGAATGCTTCGTTAGGTGAGAGCATAGATGTAAAATCTAGTTTTGTTGTGGCAGGTTTTCACTTAGTTGCCTTATGCGAACCTCTACCTTATCGCTCTTGGAATTGATAGATCGAGGCAATTTTCTCGGTGATCAAGAAAAACATGATTATGAGGACTGTGGAACCTGATCAATCCATCAAAAACGCATGAAGGCGAAAATTTTCATCATTGAATGCGTACTTTTGAGAACGTTAATTGGAACAACTTTGGATAAGTACGAAGATACCACGCATCGTGGGTGTCGGTGTACCGTGACAGATTTAGCGGGTTGTTTGTAGCTGGGACAGAAAGATCAGTTGGCGGATTGATGGAAAATAGCATGTAAAAATAGGTTCGCGTCTGTCGCGCGACTGACATTTCAAGAACAAAACAGGCGTTAAAACAGCCTACCTTACTTGTACCAAAAAGAGTCGTCTCTCCCAGTGGACTAATAGTATGTATTCGTGAACAATTGGAGACTCTTAGTGGAGGGAGGCTGCTGGGAATTGGAAGCAATGTAACACATCGGCCTGTAGATACAACTGAGATTATTTAGGATACATTTGCTCGTCATAGTAAACCTGTGGTAGTCTCTTGATTCTATATGGACCCTCTTTCCTTAAAGTCACCAAACCGGCTAGTGCTCATGGCCTTGGCTGCTGGGAAAAACAGTACCTTGTTGGTTCCACTTGTGATTTTGAATAGTTGGGAAATTTCGGTAGAAGTCATAGTACAAAAAGAAAAGCAGTCCAGAACTTTGGCATACGTTCCTGTCCACAAAGAGAGACAGGATGGTCAAATCAAGAGAATTGGGTACTTTTGATTCTGTATAGTCTTTCTTTAGTTGTTTTTATGTTCCTCGTGGATATTCTATGATGAGTTCATAGTTCACACCTCGTGACGCTTCCCCAGTGCAACCTCGAGCGCATAAATATTAAGGGCCTGATGAAGACTAACTAACGTATGTCGCAGAACTTCGGCTGATATAAATTATTCATCGCAGATGTAACCAGGCCACCAGCTCTTTGGAAGTGAAGTTTGGTTTCACAGCAATGTACCGTAAAACCGACCCTAACTAAAAAAACTGTGTTGCATTCCTTTGTAACTCCAGTACGCGTGTTGCGTGAATAATTGAGAAGGTACTGACAGAAAAACGTGGATCTTGGTTCCAAGGTGTTATTCCCTCTTGCCTGTAGTTCTACTTCGTCCCCTTTTTGCTCATACCTGAGTGAGAAAAAACCGGCAAAATTTCCGCAAAGTTTATGTTACTGGCTCGCTTATTTGGTTGAGGCGGCCTGCGCAATACATCTGGGTAGACTAACTGAGGCACCGGTTTCTCGCTTTTTTGTGTGTGTGCACTGGAATGTTTTTCTAATCACCCCACCTTTCGATACATATTCTCTTCCATAAAGATGAATCTGGTCGATCAATATAGAAAACCAAGGCGCTATGCCTCAAGTGGAAGTGAGTGCATCTCGTGATTTGTACCTATGATATTTCGTTTGCCGCAATTAAAGTCTTTGCTATAGGGCGGCATACATTTGTTTGCCGATTTGCCAACTGATTTCAAGCAACCAGCTGCTTGATAGTGGCTAGTCTTGTACACCAAAAGATAAAAGGAAAATATCGCGCATTCATGACTTTATTATTTCAAACTTCTGACTATGCAGGATATAAAAGAAGACACAGACGGTATTTAGGAAAGAACCATTGGACAATCGTCTAGTTTCCTGTTTGTCCATTTTTTCTAACTCATTCATTCATTAGAATAATCCGGTTCCACTCAACATTAGCACTATCAACACCAGGACAGTGTTATCATTCAAGCACAAACTGTGTTGGTAGCGTAAGGAAGTTTGAGAATTCTAAAGGAAATTTCGTCCTATAAGCAACGTGAATCTATGCTGAAAAGCCGATAAGCACCGTACAGCTGCATCATCGTTATCCGGAATCATCGGCAGTGAGTAACTCATCAAATTCCGGAGACTCAATCACGCGACCTCCTGGTTGGTAGCTTGAACACTTAGTCGTTGGGCCATAAGTGGCTGGTCAGCAGTGTGATTAACTCTCGCTTGGACAGGATATACGGCCACTCATCCCTCAATCATGATATCCACACTACGTGGGCACACATGCTGCCTGGCTCCTTAAGCAACTACTACTCAGATGGAAGTTTCACTCATGAAGCGAATTTTACTCTTCCCCCAATCCACTTACAGATTGCTGGTAATGTGAGGAGATTTGAGAATTTTAATGGAAATTTCGTCCCTTAAGTAAAGAAAATCTATGCCAATAGGCCGTAGAATACTGTACACCTCTTTCATGAAACTGGGCAGGTTTCAAAGATGAATACCCCCCAATCCACTAATAAAACTCTCTGAATCAAATGTCACAAAGAAATGGATCTGTAACTTTCAACACTCATTCCTCTGTCTTTTACCGTTTTAAGTCACGTCCTTCCTTCTGTACTGGTGTCAATTATACGTTTGTTTTCTTATGATGCTCGTCCCATGCTGAAAAAACGAAGTTACTTCCATATAGCTGAGGCAGATTTACTGCTATTCTATTATTTTTCCCTCGGTATGCAATCCAACATGTTGTAGTGAAGTTGGGTGCGGGAAACTGCTGAAGTAGAACTACCTATTGGTTAAAAAACCTACTGTCACTAGTTTCATGGAATAGGACCGCTAATAAGCTAGCTAAGACTATCGTTAGTCTGGAACTTTTCTTTTGTTAAAAAATTGTCGATTCGAGCAAAATAGAAGCCGTAGTCCCCGCGCCTCCGAATAATTTGAACACCAAAAGACCCAGTCCGGATAATTTCTTTCAATGCGAACATGGATATGCTACGTTTTGCCTGCATTCTCACTAGCTTAAGAGAGGTCAGCCAACTGGAACAGACCCACTCGCCAAAACTTGGTCGAACGGTGGACGTTGAGCTCAAAATTCTCGCTCGCTGTCCTGATTGCGCAAATAACGAGATAAAATTGACAGGACGCTCCAAAACAAATGATGCGGTGATGACCATAGCCCAAATTGTCCCACAATAGAACTAGAAGAATGTCCCAGGGCTGCTCAATTGAGATGAGCTGGTTTTTCCTTGTAATGGACAGCCAAGGACAGATAATGATACTAAATGGTAGCGCCTGCTTGTAAAATACGTTTGGTATTACAATGACGGTAAGCGTCAGTTCAATACAACCACCAGTGAGATGCGACCAGGAACAGAATGGAATGTTCCAGACAGTAATGAGGTAAATGACAACAAACGCATCCTTATGGACGGAAATTTCCACATAAAGCCACCACGAGCCAAAACAGATCATCGAAATGATGGCAAAGAAGTGGAACTGTGTGCATTAGAACATCTAGCAGGATCACTGAATTTCAACATTATGTAATCTGTATCAGTTGGCACAATGACAGTGGGGGAATTTGAGGAAACAACAGAATCTCCGGTCTGTTTTTCGGATTACAACCCAACACAGACCGCACCTGAATAACCATGTTTGTTAGATTAAAGGCGAGTTGTTACGCGTCTTTTCTCACCAAATAAAATTTGATTTCGAGTGCCCGAGATCTTTTGGCACCAAAACTAAGCGACCATTTTTCGGATAACTTGATGTAGTGCCATCAGTACCCAGTGTCATTTCTTGGTACAGAAATGCCAGGCAACTTATGCTTTCCCATTAATGATTCTTGGAGGCCTCCTAAATGTATGTCACAGAGATTTCGCAGGCACGACCATCGTTTGCTTAGCTTAGGATGAATTATGGTATAATGTCTCTTAATTGAGAGTTTCAGGAGAGGTCAAGATAATGTGATCGTCTGTTTGTTTTAGGTGCATACGTTTTGGATGAGTTCCGTGAAACTTCATGTTCACACTGTAGATGCGCAATTACGCGATTACTAAACCAACCGATCGTGCGGGCTTTTTTGGAGTGTTAACGAAAAAATTTTAGTGATCGAACAATTCCTGGAAATAGAGGACTCAGCTGTGAGCTATTTATGCCCAACCAATTTGTCGCCTTTAGCGACGACGCGATGCACGATTTCTTTTGGGTCCGTCCCTCACCCAAATGATCTATATCCACTGAGTTTACTATCGATTGGGCACACGCTAATACATTCATGCATGCTAAAGGGTGTGCAAATTCATTGATGTAGACGATAACTACAGCTGGGCTGTATTTGACATACCCGATGTGCAAATACGATGAATCGCTTTTGGTTAATGATCAGTGATCAGTTATGTTCCGGATATGAACACAACATTAGTATGTTTGAATCGACTGAGAGGCAGTTGTCCCGTTGCTGGTGTGATTGTGCAGATCAGTTAGGCCCACGTCGATTTTGGAAAAAAACTTCGAACTCATTACGTAGTCAATTTCCTCGTTGATAACCACTAGTTTGCTTTCGTTTTTCACCGAAGGATTACTTGTAATTGAAACTGGAAGTTGTGCGCGGTAATCACCAGTCGATTAGTTCTGTTACGATTGTTAGGCATCTCTAGCAAGTGCGGCGAATTCCTCCTTATTTGAAACATATGAGAATGAGGAAGGTACCCAGCGAACCAAAGGGTACATGTAATGGTGTTCAGTGATTTCAAATTGTGTAAGCTGGACACTCGAAATGTCTGGACTTGTTATCTTTACGCTAGTGGAGGAAAAAGGGCAGTAATAAAACTCATAGTGGAAGGTGTTTACTGTTTGGTTATTTCAGGTGACTTCACTCGAGTTTTGAATGGTTGTATTAAGTGTGACTTTTAACTATTTTTGATACAGTTCACTATGCTAGGTTTCCAAGTCTGACTTCACCTTTTGAACTCTCTATTTGTGTTGTCTCCCTAACCGCGAGCTTCGAGTGTAACAGGTTTGCATGAATTACGTGCGTTTAGCTGGCATACATCAGTGATAACACAAGTAGCCTATTTGGTTTCATTTTTGCTGATGGCCATGTCAGCATGATGACAAGCTGAATAAAAACTGTCACCGCAATAAACTTGAGGTCAATATCTTTAAGCAATTGGGGCAATCATCCGGCACAGTGGCATGAAATCATCCATTCCCAGATCCGCCCAAGACTTGAATGATACGCTGGCTGCCTAGAAATTTGAGAACACCGATCTTCACGTGACCGCTGACGACTCGTGGATGACGAAGCTTGAGAGTCCTGGCTTCTCGCATATCCGATGTTCTTAATTCATACAAAAGCAAATGACTTGATTTTATTTCATCTTGTAACATCTTTCCTTGCCGCCGCTTGTGAAGTTGTATGGACTATTGACTGCCAACTTTCGGATTAATCATCACTAGAAATTATTTGAAGAAATCAGCAAGGATTCCTGAGTTAACTTCATGAATCTAAACCTTTGACTGATGTTGAGCGCCGTCCGACAACCTTCATGTTAATGCTGACAAAACCCTGGTCAGGTTAGCTAATGTTTTTTGAACCGCCTCACATAAAAACTTTTTCGTTCAATAGCCCTTACTGATGTAATAAAGCCTGGATGAAAATTTGCAAGTCAATACGTGCCAACTCTTCACTTGCTTACTGTTGGCACAAAGACATCCGTTTAACGACTGACCCTCGCATTCTCCAGGATTGGCTGGAGATATTTGATGTTTGACTCCAACTCTTGAATACTTATTGGTCTGTTTCTATTCAAACTCTACTTCAAGTATTCTCCCTAAAAGTCAGTGAGGCTTTTCATATCTGTGCGGTCAAACAGACGGCCCTCTTCGGCTTACCAACCTATCCCTTAGTATTTCACTGAGATACTTAGGCACACAACGGGTGTAATGTGGCAGAGCTCCATTCTGTTGAACCAAACACCGGCTGCGGGTCTATCTAGTGTTGTGTTTGATGCTTGTATAGTGAAGGCAACGGCATTGTTTGTCTGTCACTTTCATCAGCTTGGCCCTTTATTATGTGACAAGGTCTGTATTTACCACAGTACAAACTTCCAAAAAATTTTGGTACTCAGATAGCCTTTCTGACGAATCCATCATTTAACTGTGTCCTTTTATCCGCGCAACCAGTACACTGGGTAGTAGAATCGACCCAACCTTCTATCGATCGGCTGAATTCCAGCCGGTCTCGTCACTCGTGCCCGTAACGCAGTACGCACTGACAAATTCCGCTCTCAGATAGTCTTCCAATGTCTGATTGATTTAGAGAAGTAAAGATTACGGTTTTGGCTTACAAGAACGAGTGATTTTCTTCATTCAAATAAGACGGAGGATTTCCGGACTAAAGAACCAAAGTGAATGTGGAAGTAATGAGCGACTAATCAGTGGGGCCTCCTGGTTATACCAGCCAATCAAACATTCAGCCTAAACGCCTTATGTGTTCTTACCGGCAGTGCCACACGAAAGAAGAAGTAGGGATGGGTTCCTTCCAAAATGCCCACGTCTATAAAGTAGCCTTCCAAATGCCAAGGCTGGGTCCGAACCACGGACGTTCTGGTCAGAAAGCCCGTGCAATAGCTATTGATCTATGGCCGGCTCTCCGGCTATGCTACATTGTATGTGATCAGTAACCTCCCCGAAAAAGATCTTGCCTGATCAGAATCTTCAATAATGAAATCTCTTTCAGCCGTTTTGCCAAACGTTCCCAAAGTTCTGGTGAGATCGCAGCCAAATCTTTTAGACAGTGACCTGGAATCAGAAACGGTCGTTTATGAAGAACGTAGAAGTAAGATGTATCATGTTTTTGTACCACTCAAACACAGTGGTATAACCTACCCGTCGTTATTTACTGCTTGTGGTGTGCAAGAAATATGTAAATCAATAAAATGCTTTCATTTCCATTGACTGTATAATAAAAACTGACCATTTTTCGTTGATCTCTTTAATCCTCTGGCATGACATTTAGGAAGAATGCTCATATATATAGTTATACACTTGACTACCAGTGAAAGGAAGAACGTCTTACCTGCGGAGTTATTTATTGGAGAGGGGAATTTCGTGTTCAGTCCACGGGCAGAAGTCAAACGGGTCTTCATCGCCCGTGAATAGGTCGGAATATTTCTCGACCACGGACTTACTGACGGCACGTTACAAGACGGAAGCTTTCGGATATGCAGCTCACTCACGACAGTGCTTGGGTAGCTTTCAAGCTTGATTGTGCCATAACATGTCGTCAGTTTTCCTACTGTAGGTCAACCACGGGGTCTGTACTCTTGAGAAAACCTGACCCCAATATTGCCTGCTTTTTACCTGGGCTGATCAGGAACGCATGCTGCACGGATTTGTTTCCTAGGCATATTGAGTGCACTGACAATCCATCAATTTTCAGTCGATATCCACCCATTGCTCTCACGACTAACATACACGTTCTGCATTCAGCTTGGTTCCCTCTCCTCCTCAGCGATACCCCTGCTCCAGTATCAATCAAGCACAGCTACCTCTTCCCTTCTATCTGGATAACGGCCTGTATTGCAGCCTGTGTCACTACACTAATCGCAACCCAGTCCGGGAAAATAGGAGCAATCCAAAGTTTCATTATGTACTTGTGGTCGGGTACGAGGGCATTGATTCTTCCAATGGTCAGGCACGCCACACTTGTAACACCCACTCGTTCGAGCATGCCTCCGCGATTCCGTCCTTATGGCTGCAAGCGATTTCGCTAGTTGGTACACTTTGTCCTTTAGGTCCTTTACCGTTGAGTTCTCCCTGTTCTGCAACTGCAACGTGACCAGCGGCATTTCGGCCAATTGCCGTGCCAGATGCACCAGGTGCTCCACACTCATCTGGCCAGTTGCTCACGCCAAACGCAACCGGTCACGAAGCGCCGGTTGCACACACTGGACGAACTACTCAGACAGCAGCTGCTGGCGCGCCACTAGTTCCAGTTCCGACAAAGCCCGACTCAGCGACTGCTGCAGGCCGGCAAAGAACACCGTCGGGCCACTTCACGGTTCCACCTTGGCAGTCTTGAACCGTCTCATAGCCTTCTAGTGGTTAGCCGGCTGAAAGGCCCTCCTTCGCGGCTGCCCAGTGCATCTTTTGAGGCCACCTTCGCCCGGTCTCTGATGGGGTCTTCAGAGCCGCCACCTTACCTCGGTCTGTATCCAATCGTGCAGTCTCCGCAACCTCTCCGAAATCCTGTAGCAAGGTCCGAACATACCCATCTTCAAAGGGTTGCGGCCACGAGATCTTCATCATTATCCTAGCAACCTCGCCAAATGAAGGGAATGAGGACTTCGCTTCGGAGTTGTTTATTGGAAAACACCAAGTGAACAGTTACGAACTATTGGACAGGGAAGCAAAACTCTCATGCGCATCTTGTTCATAAAACTGAATATCCGTCTTCTTCTCCAACGTGTCATCCTGATCTATGCTGGATAAGCATTGACTATCACTCAAATGTATGCTACAACGCAATTCCACAACCTCCGTAATAAATCTCACTTTTCAACAGATGCAAAGCGGATTTCCGCGAAACATACTACCCGCATGCCCCATCAGTAGTACCCACCGTTGTACCGGTGGTGACCTGGAAATAAGCGGAAGAACATTGAGTTCGTTCAGCAGTAAGCGGTGGTCGATAGAGTGAAAAACAATTTGTTGGGGCCAAATGAGCCCACTTGATTTTATGCTATCCTATTCCGCAATGAACAAGAAGAAAGATATTCTAATATATATTGGACTAACCGAGCCAAATGGGGCGATTACCGTAAAACTCTGAAGCCGAAATTAATATGTGCTCAAGGGATTAGGGTTTGAATACTGAAACTAGAGTTAAAATTACAAACGTAGAACCTATATGGGTGTTTTTTTGAAGAATTGCTTCCTGGACACCAAGTGCATTTAGACGCTAGAGGTGTTTCGGATAGTCAGCTACCGGAAAATTCCGGTTGTCCTTCGCTGAGGGGACAAAGGTCAATTAAGCAAGACATGTGTATTCAAAATCTAATCGACGAATTGTATTCCCTTTTCTTTTTCGTTTGCCTCGGGGCTTCTAATTTATCCACCCAACCGCTCACTTTAACACACGGGACATTAAAAACAGTCCTAAGCGGCTTCTGTTTGGTTAATCAAACTCTGTATTTTTGTTCACACCTTAACTGCTGAGAATTTGTTACTTCCTATTTCGTATTTCCTAGTTCCGGCTTGTGCGCAGATGTTTCATTGCTCTTCAATGATGCTGAGGATCCATGTATTCGATCTCGGGCGTGCACCTCTGAAAGCGATGAAGCATTTCCAGCATACACCCCATTCCTGACACAATCACCTCTGACCCTAGGCTCAATTTTCACATCTGCACACCAGATGTAAGTTGAGAACACAAGTATTTACTAACGGAGTGGAAGAACGTAGTTCCGAACCACATGACTTGAGGACGCCAGGCTGATTTGAAACGAGTCAAGAGTCAAGTGTACCAGCAACCACCGGTCAGAAAAAACGGACCTTCGAGAGAAACAGTCTGTTGTAAAGAACATACTGTTCACCAGAACACTTAAAAATCCTGCGCAAGCAGAAACATACAAATTGGAACGTTGCTAACAAATGGTTGCGCGCTATCCGAGGAACAATTAGGAGCTCAAATATACGTGGACTTGTTTGACTGAGTCGTGGCGGTCTTTTGTTAGCGTTATAGAAGTCTGTATTCAGGTGAATGATTGATACCAAGGTTCGGGCAGTGGACAATGAGGTTCAACCAGCAGACAATTGGCTTCAACCAACGATTATTACACGCAGGTCATTCAACGCGGGGATGAAGAAACAAGACACCCAGTGTCGGACTCCACTGGAACTATCTGAACCAACTCAGCAGTTCTGATCAGGCGTCAATTTCCCATATGTTCACGCGATGAGATATAAGAAACATATACCTCGTTTTGCCATCAAAAAAATTTTAAACCTTAAACTTTGCCAAACTTGTCAAGTTAGACTATGTGAGGCCTTAAGAGCTCAAGTCTTGAGAGAACACTGTAAGTGGGACAAGATAATCATCACCGTTCATAGGGCAGGAAACCCGGTATGTGCTGCTTCTGGGAGCTCATTAAATACGGCTGAATTCCAGAACAGTCATTATCGCGTTTTGCTTCAGAGCACTGCTTCTTTTTGGATGTTGAGCCCAATTCATCCATCGAGCATGATGAACCTAGAAACTGATGGAATCTGGATGTTCTAGAAATGGAGAAAGCGCAGTTGGCGCAGTTGGGAACTTTCAAAAATTGTCTAAACGTGCACACAATAATAAGCCAAAATTCATTTATTAGCGGGGTCATCAACTACGATAAAACGAGAACCACAGTCTTGACTTTTGACCCGAAGGCATTCACAGTTTGTCGTCTGGTTGATCCCACTCGCTAAACTTGAACCGTAATCTGTGAGTTTCGGTTCTCTCTCAGTTTCTCAAGTGTCATAACGATATTCTGCCACCAAAATCCACTGGGCTGCAGGAACAAATGAACTCTCGTCTAGGATCTTCTTATACAAACTGTGTTCTGACGAAATTTGCTGCGTTGTTTCAAATATCCTCCCAACCGAAACATAATACGGCGTTGTTTAGCTAAAGGATAACTCATACAAAGCATTCACTTGATTATACCATTAACATCAGTGAAATTTGAAAATGAATACACGTCGTCAATTGCTTACTAATTTTTCAGTCGTTTATTAAGCATTGAGTAATCTCACCAGCGTTAACAGACATCCATCTTGGTACCCAACCAGTAGTGTCGAACTTATGATCTCGTTTCCTTGCTCGGGATTGTGATGTGGCATAACACAAAGTGCCGCTACCGGATCGCCCCAACCATTGTCTCTCTTCTGTGTCTTTCAGGACACGAGTAAGAAACTTTTACATTGCCGAGAGTTCAAGCCCCATCTCCCGCACTCGTATCTAGTAATCGGTTGTTTATCATCCCATGACAAATAGTGCCACAGTATTCTAGCCCTCTTTTCCGTCTTTAAAAATGCCTGACGATCCAGCTATCCCATTTCAACAAAGTACCGATTGTTGGTTGTGTTGAGCTATCTCATGGGTCTCGTGCTGCAAGGAGGTTACTTGAGTTCTGGTTGGGCCTTTGATTTGGTTTGTTTGATAGGTCGGAAAACATTCAACTGGCGGAAGTTGCTTCCGTCATGTAAATTAAATTACACGGCAAACCGGGCTGAAATTTTAGGAAGCTTCTTGTTTTTCCTGCTACTATTTAATCAAAGGGCACTTGTAATTCTGGTCCATCTCGATGGTTCTGTATCCCACCGAACTAATTGCTTGGCATGAATTCTTTTAACATGAGCTTGGCGTTTTAAAACGTCACAGTTGGGGGTTAAATGACAATAACGTAATTCGTGCTATTTCTGAACCCATCTATCTTTACTATTGGCTGAATTCCACTGTCTGCTGGTTGAACCTCACTGTCCATTGTCCCAACCATGGTGTCAATCATCCAGTTGAATGCAGATTTTATAGGGCCAGCCAAAAACCGCCTTGACTCAGTCAAACAAGTCTACGTTTGTTTTCATAAAGGAAACTACTCACAAGGTTGCTGAAAACCCTTCGACAGCTCACGACCGGTTTCGCCCTTCTTGGGGCTCATCAGGTAGGCGCAGTCCACGAGTTTACGACAACCTCATATTCTACATGAACCCAAATTGGGCTGTTTTCGAGAAATACACTCATTTGCAAATCAATTAGGTCTACATTTGCTTGGACTCCGAATCGTTCTTTAGATAGCGCACAGACATTCCAATTGGCATGCTTCTATCTGTGTACTCAAATTAATGCACAGACCGATAAATTTCATATCAGTGCTCTTATGGGTGCTCGTTACAGAGTGGCAACCAGGGTGGAGAAACTCTTCAGTGGGAAGCTGCAATAAACCAGACTATCTCTATATGCACCACTGTGTTCAGTTTTTAACTCGCTGGACGTTCACATTTGTGTTGATTCGTCACTCGGACGCAGATGTTACATGTTCATCGCATCCAGTTATTCCACACACCTGCTCCCGTTTAATTTTATCGTAATAAACTATGAAACTTGAATTCCCTCCACATACCCCGAAGAAATAATCAAACATTAAACTGAGGTTTTGGAGTTGTCGCATGACATTTGTTCTTCCTCCATCATTCTGCCCCGAAAATTGGACGCAAGTTGAGTTTCGTCTTCCTACTTTTTGATAGGACCAGTCATAATAGAGACCTAGGGAGCCCAAGTCATGGATGTCAAAGGCTGAGTTTACCTTGGTAAATTCTAGTGCCCTAATGCGGGGGCTAGGGTGTGAAAAAGTGGTGAAAAAGAAGCAAACGATTGAAACGGAAATAACGGAAAACTTAAGGATACAAGTTTCTAATAACCGCCCCTGTACGACCTATCTGCCAAAATGTCGATAAAAATTTTTCGGAAAGTTCAAAATGGCCGTTCTAGATCGTCGCTGGTCCATCCCATTCGAAAACAGTTAAAGGAGAGTGGATTTGATTACAAGACGACCGCATTATTTTGGCAACCCTCAAGACGAAGAGATTCTTTCGCAACACGGTTTGTTGCGTGCGCGAAGTGCTTTATGATGGCACTTCTTGACACTAATAAACCAACTGAGTGATCGTTGTGGTCAAATCGAATTGACAAGAGATTTTTAGCCCTACTTACTTATGCACTTTTACACAGCTTGAGGTGAACAGTTTATGCAGATCGTTCATCACAAGTGGTAATGATATTCTGGCTGCTTTTACCAAATATTTAAGATCAGTAATGACAAATATGCTCCTGACTGCACTTTGTAGTCAGGAGCTGGTGCAGTTTTACATAGTTGCCCATGGCTTCCGAGCGAGGTTAAACTCTCTTCTTGGGCACAGAAATTTCTGTGCTCTAGAACTTCTTTAAGAAATCAATCGACTGCTCTTGTAGTCTTGTACAATGTCGTATGAGCCCAGACTGAGTTCCACATATTCACAAAATCAATATGCTTTTTTAATTAGGTTTTGTGACAGAATTCTTTCATAGCGCAGAGGGACTCGTAAAGTGAGCATACACTGATAAGCTTGCATTTTGAGGTCAAAGCTGGTGCCTCTGTCTGCTCCTGTAGTAATCAGCACATTCCGATAAGCAAGAATAGAGTGCAGTGTAGTGTGATGAAGGAAAAAACGTCTGCTATGTGAAACACCATGGAAGGATAGACTAAATGTGTTGTTTGATATCCGGACTTCCTAATTTCAGTGGCGCTGAACTCTTTGAAGTGCCTGTAGACATCCTATCTACCACTTACCTAGATGCTTCCAAGCTAATTTCATCCAGACTCACGTGTTGCATCGCCACAAGTGGCAATCTTTTCTTGAAGATTCTGGTGCTGATAATTTTTGATTTTGTTAATCATCTGCAATTGTGTAGTTCTGCTTCGGTAAGTTGAGATACAGTTATATGATATCTGAAGTCTTCGTCACAGAAGACAAAACGGAACGCTTTTTGTGAGCTTCACAAAACTAGAGATGTGTGTTGACATTGTGGCCCACTTAGATCACCTGGGTCTGAAGCCTGAAAAGATTTTCTCACTTTTGCCGAAATGATTGCAGAGAGCATTCTTTTTAATTGAGGAGCACTTACGAGCTCAGCTCCTCACTCATCCACGAAGCTGTCAAAAACTTCAGAAAATTATCAGTGACTTGAGTGTTTTGCGGTACGTATGCAAAAACGTTTTAAAAAATGAGAAATATCATTATCCAAAGAAAATAACTTTCGCCCTTTCCAAAATCGCTTTGAACGCATTGGTGAAGGCAGCGACACTGAAGTGGATTGGGAAACTTCTGATCTGTATGTAAATGGGGTTGAATTAGAAGCATAGGGTAAGCAAATATTGTGACTGACATCGGCGTTGTTTAGACGAGGATGTTACGCAGTTAAAAAACAATAATTGCGGTATGATAGCTACGTCTGGAACTTCATACACGTGTACAAAACGTTTTTCAGAAGTAAACCGTGACAGCTGAGCACCGCACTAATTAACCTATGAGTCATTTGTAGGCGGTTATTATAGATACATTTGGAGATATGAATTCTCACTCTAGTCACTGGTTGAATCCAGAACGTCAGGCAGATTGATCTCCACCGATCCTACCTACGATGTTTACTGTTTTGTCACGAGCTTTAAAGGCTCATTCGTCTCACTATCACCACCGGCAGCAGCAGTGACGAGAGAGTAACACCCTTGTAGCAAGTAGGAACGAAGGAAGCGTGTGGAATTCTTTCAATAGGCCCTGTCTTTGATGAAAGCTATCAAGAATGAGGTGTCAGCATCGAAGTATGTATCTGATGTGTTGAATGGACTAATACACTTATCCTTCAGTTTCTGAAAGAGAATGGAGTAGGTTATGACTTGTGGACTAGCTCGCTTTGATAGATAATACTTGAAATGTGAGGACCCCATGAAAGCTATTAACAAATCGTAAAGACAGACTGCAAAGCCAAAGCCTTCGTAGAGCAAACTTGTTGCGCATTTGGGGTGGATTTTTTTTACCCTGCTACCGCTAATATAGTAGCCAAAAGTCCCACAGCGTGAGAATTTAGTAATACTGGCCTCCTGAGTTGTCATGGCTTATATTCTACCCACAACCCAGACATTTTCCGCGACTTGCGATTTGACTAGCCCAATCCATCAATTTGCCTATCCTCTCAGTAATCTGCAGCTGCAATAGATGCGCAGGCTTGGCATTTAAAGCATTTTGCTATGTCGCTGGAACTCCTTTCACAGGAAATCGAGTAACTACTAGAAGCACTTTGGTTTTCCTGGAAAGAAAGTCAAACTCTGAATGAAAACAAAGAGTTAACTGTCGAAAGCGGTAAACCACTCAACCGAGTGCATAGAATTTTCTCGGCTACCAATAATAAAATCCACCTCTGAATTACTGAACCCCGGGGGGCTACAGTTGACCCTGCTTCAACCAAAAAATGTTGAACATGTGTGCCTCGTACTTGCGTGTACTTTGATCACCAATAGAAACCTAACTTTGTGTTTTGTAGAATGCACGTGAACTCTCTGATTCTGATAGGACCACAAATGAAAGACTGCTTCATGCATTATCAAGGACAATCGTTAGAATGACCGTAATTTAGTGGCATTCCGGGGTCAAGCTGACGCGAAGTGTCGTCATCAGCTAAGTTCTTCGACTTTTAACAGCAGTCTTACCTGACCCTCACATTTCATATGATGCCAAAAGACTTGTAACTGAAACTTCTTTCCTTCGGTTTGTTTTCTCAGCGATGCGCCGTTTGGACGGGAGGAACACCGTTGAAGGACCAAAGTTTTTCAACCAGCAGTGCTCAGCAGGCCACCGACGGGAGATATGTAAGCAGCCATGTTGATGGCAAATGTGATGGTTTATACTGTGAGGAATCCAAATGGAACCTAAACAGTTGAGGTATCCACTATTGAAAACTCAGTGAACGAGAAGATCTATCGTTTCTTGCTTCAAAAAATTCCTTATTTAGTAATCGGGCCCAAAACGCAGCCAAATCACGACAAAGCTCTTACTTTACTGAAGGAGTTCTATAGATGGATGTTGCTCTATGGAACGGCGAACTGCGGTTGGTCCTAAAAAGCACCTAAGATCAAGATTATTTTGTTTTTTCATACGCGCACATTACAAAAGTGGATAAAATAAGCAGAATCTAGGTTCCAACCTGAACGTTCCCCCTTAACGACCACTTTCTGTAGAATAACCTACGATTTCCGGAAAAAAGTCATTCCACTGAATTACGGTTACTTACCCAATAGGACCAGATGTGCCATGAAAACGGAAAACCTATTTACGTGCTTTACCAACTGCCAAGAAGGTATCAAATGCTTCATTGTTTTTATACGATTTATTTATGGTTTTTATTCATTTCATTTGAACTGACTTGGCAAACACAAATACTCTATAGATCAGGCGAAGATTTTGAAATTTCTAAGCGAGACTTCATACTGGTCGTGGAAGTATCCAGGAACTGTCGGGAGCTGCTCAATCCTTCCTCTAAATCATCAGCGAAAATCTCACCAGTCACAGGAAACGTGTGACTCTTCCGTTCATAACTGAATATTGCATAGTGCGTGAAATACCCATGTGCTGTCAACGCTACTAAAGCCTCGTCGTTGGCCCCACAGATTACCACAACGGACTACGCTAATAGATCCAAACAGTGATGTTTCATGGTCAGGATAAAAATGTTCTCGATAGTGAGTGATATTCACTTCCACTAATAGTAACAGTATTTTATTTAGATCCATTTATCATAGCACGTCGTGCACTTCGCCGGAGAGACAGCGAGTTTCGACCTAGCCAAAATGACTAGCAGCTTTAAATAAGTTGTGCAGTTTTAAGGTCGAAGACGCTGGTGAATGACTGTAAGGCCCTGACAGAGATTATTGTCAACAGTCAAGACGATTTCATCTACGTGGATGTGAATATGCTTTTAAACGGAGCAGAACTTCCTTATTTGTTTTAAATGATTCATATGTGTAACTTTTTGACTACCCTTATTTGAATGGAATAGGCATTTCATTACCAGGATGCTGGAATCTATTCGAAGTCGATTTCATTTGGGGGGTTAACTGTTCGAATGGTGCTCATTTCGCATAGCGGTTGTTTAGATATGTGGTCCAGTGTTTTCACACGGTTGCTTGTGAATTAAAATGTTCTCGGCTGCGCGTATTTTACCCTTCTAAAGAAGCTAACTATTCAAGTCTCATTAGTGTACGTGAATAGCCCTTCACTCACGGAAAACATCTAGCAGCATAAACTGGAACGACGTCGCCATATGTCACGCATTCCGAAACACGTGTTGTTCTCCATGCCTCCGTCAGAATGGCGCAAACTGCGAAGCGGAAGGTGAATAAGCCATGTGACATCTGAGCGCCGTCGGTGAATTTCGCCTATATTTGTTATAGTGGAAGAACAAAATCGATAGTGCCTGGTCTCCTCCAAACTCTGTAGATTTTTGGAAACGACTCCATTCAAACTATCCGTATTCAACCTATTTTTCAGCCTAAAAACGAGAATTTCTCCAGCGAAACAAAGTGGGCTAATTACATGATAATTTTTGATCTTTTATCGTCCTTTTCCTTTGGAAACGGATAATATTTTAACAGCCTTCATTCTTGTGGAGTGTGCCCTCCGATTTCGAACGAATTAGATGGTAGCTGCTGATTGGATACTGTAGCCTTCGTCCACCAAATTTGATTAGCTTGGTTAGTAATCAGTTTACTCCACAGGACTTTCCGTTTTCCATTTATAGAATCCTACCTGTTTCTTTTTTCTCTCTGTACGTTATGGTACAAAATTCAGCTGCTTTCATTCAACTTCCGGCCGATGCCTGGGTAGTGCTGAGATGTGCATCCCCCGCGGAACTAACATATCTTCAACTTTTATTATCATTTGGCCGGTTTTGATGCTTTGAGAAAGCTACAAGCCAAGGGTTTGGTGTCCATAGACGTCCTCTTGGTGATCTAGATGGCAGTAGGGAAGACAGAAATCTGTCTTTTCCTGGACTTCGCTACGTATTTCACCCGCTCTTTGTAACTGCGTTCTGTATAACTGGTTTTCACTGCTTGAAGTTATTCTCGGCCGGGTCAGCTTCACAAATTCTTTAGCGCTCTAATAACAATTGCATTCTTCTGCCAATCCGCGAAGAGAATCACAGGGGCATTTTCGGCCAACTTGTTCTTTTGCACTAATTTCTTTATCCCCGTTATCTATAGTGCGGATTAAAGTAAATGTATTTTCAACACTGCCCACTGGTTGGACAAGTACTATGCAGGTTACCCAATGACGGCTCTAAAAAGCCAAGACGTTGCAAACCAAAATTTCCGGGTGTTTATATAAGTTGGACCTACAGCGTCGGCCTACCGCCTCTCAGCATGACGCATCTACTGGATAAGTCACAATGAGAGCGGGGTCGGCCCAGAGAGGTCAAAGATCTCTCAACAGACTTGCGAGTAGTTTCCTTCAAAAAATATACTGTGATATCTCGAAGATCATACCAACTAAAACATCAGGCACCCTATGTTCAACACATTCAGTTGAAGTATTCAGTTAAACCTCCCGTTATAGCCCATTGGGTGCCAAACTAAGCGTATTTCGCAAACAAAGCCAGTTTTTCAAGGTCATAAAATATCAGAAGGACAGTCACCTATTAGGCTTTGTTGAAAAGGATGAAATCCGAAGCTGTAATCCCAAATTGGGTAAATAAATGGAGTTTGTGGCTCGGCATGGTAGGATTGCCATTCATTCATGACTACAGCCCTGGTAATTTTGTTTTACCTGATCCGGGGTCTGATACCTTTGCTCACTGAAAAGATCCTAATGGTGAGCATGTTTTTTTCGTCATATTATCTGTCTGCTATCCTGCCCTGACCTTCCGTCTGGCAAGATACACCCAACAGTTGAATTCAGTCTATCCTGCTGTCCTCACGAAATCCCTGAAGGGAACCGAATGCATAAGGAAGAGACAAAATTGGAAATTCGATTACTAATTCTTGTGATGCACCTCTCAAAGAAAAGGCCGTATATTGATATTCTTTCTCATGTATTAGTGCTCAGTGGTCTTCTTTATTAGAATTCCATGCTCCAGCAACAGACCTCGTAATCTTTATCCACGCAATTCTCTCGGTCGTGACAGCGCGAAGCTGAAGGTGATTTCACTAGTATTTTGGTGAATAGCGCGATTTTTTCGACCTTTTACTCACAATCTTGCACTTTACGTCCTAATCCTCCCCACATTCCAGCAAACAGCCGCACCATCGAACAAATGTGGTAGCATTCAGTCTACCGAAACGTCGTCTTCTTCTTTATTGTGTATGTTTCGGACTTGTGGGTGCTGCAGTACCTAACGCAGTGGCTAAAGGTGATATGTGATGAAAATATTGCTATCACTAGTTTTTCTAACTTTACTAAGCTATGTTACAAGGATAGCAGGCAACCGACAACCGGTAAAATTCGGTTAAAAAGGATCCTGAGCATTTTTAGCGATGATAAATAACTAGTGTCTTGTAACCGTTTCTGTGACGGTTACATCCAAAAGTGCGTACTATTTTTAATGATTTCTGTGAAACGTCCATTTTTTTCTAAAGTCTGCTGTGGTCTAACGGATGGTCTGCAGTAAAACCGTAACCAATTGGGTTCACTGACTCCCGCTACTCAGAACGCTCGTAGCTTAGACGCAAAAGTTCCCTGCCGTCAGTACCATAGAAGCAGCTGGCTATCCGCCGTTCTGACTGCGCTAGCAGTCCTCGGGTTCAGGCGATCATCCGGTTGGCATATGTGGACAGGTTCGGTCAACCCCGTCTTCTTATCCACATTGGCCGCCACGTCATTATACCAATTGTTCCGTTTCATGTGGTCTGTTTGTATTACGTCCAAAATGCGGCGTACTATAGACTACCTGATTCAGTGGCGCGGCTGAATTATTGAGCCTGAGGCGACCGAAAGACTAAAGTCCTGCCTGGCGTCTCTGACGTCCATGTACAAGAGAGAATAGTAACCTGCAATAATGCTTGTGAAGAATGCAGGTGCGTACACGTGAACATCAGTACTGTATTGGACCATCTGATGTAGTGCTAGGATGATCGTACATCTGAACAAGCTACACCAGCTTCGTGGAGGCGTACAATGGGTGGCATTAGGAGTGTACCACCATGCCAGCACTTGGATAATGAACCCAACCATATCACTGGAAAAGCAGAACACCGCTTAAAAATGCCTATCCCAGTAGGTCTTCACAGCATTAGCACAGCTGACTCCATAAATCGTAGAGCATCGTCCTCAGACGCACTGCACACTGTACTACACACTAGCCACCAAATAAACGATGTGTTGCTAGATCACCTTATCTGTTTATTGTTGTCTGCTGAGGGTGTGTTACCCATTCGAACTGAAGTGGTGCGCTGAGAAATTCTGATGACTTTCAATGAAGACCATCGCACAGAGTACAGTAAGTCACATCGTACCCATGCGGAAGGAGCCATGCGACTCTGAATTGTGTTTGACCTGCTAGTGCACCTCAGATGAGTCTTCTTTGTGATGCAGGCCACTCCACCCAAACATTGTGGGCTTCTGCTGTCTTTTTTCCCCTAACGTCTATGACATTTCTGGACAGTGACAAACTGGTCGCCTTTAAACTGCCTCACCTTTTCACCCATCACACGTGAGAAAATTTTGCTGATTCCTTGGTTCGGTTTGTTGCAAGCATTGCTTGTGCACTGCAATCTTATTCCGGTCTCCTCATTTCTCATTTCGACAACATACCTTCATATTCACTGGGTACTGTGAAAGCGTTCATCGTGGGTAAACAAAACGCAGCCGTTCGCACCCAGGATCTACTTTGATATATTTGATATTTTACTTCGAGAACAGTATAAATCGCAAAACATTCAAAGTATGAGGTTTGCTGCTCAATGAACGATCAAATCCCGCTTTCAAAAATAGGCTCCCCCACTTCCTCTGTTAATTTTTAATTGCTTTTTTTATTTTTGTTTCCGTGTCGGCGATATCCATTTCGGTTGATCTCTTAGGTAACCCGCTTCTTGGCTGATAACCTACAGTCACGTTTGCTTGGAACTTGAAATATTGCTTATTATTAGAGAAAACAGCTTTATCAACTTGACACTGGCGTAAACGCCCATAATTTTTTCTTCATTTTGGTTTATTCTTGGGAGAAAGTTTACTACTTATTTTAGTCTGTTATGTGCGTGTCCGTGGGTCCGTTCTTCAAGTAAAACTACTGCATTTTCATCTTTGTTACACCAGGGAAGGACGAAGATTCGGTCGAAGTCGAAGATTCCGGAACAGGGCACGTCTACAAAAGTGGTATGTGACCACATTTTGCTGGCATATGGAGGGATAGCACACCGACCACACCCCTATTGTGCCTTTCTCTTTTGAGTGACATTTGGTTCGCCGATTGACTGATTGATTGATTGATTTATCTGGCTAACAGACCAATGATTGATTGACCGAATGACCGACCAACTGATTGGTTGGTTGGTTGATCGACTAGTTGGCCAGTTGCCTAATTAGTCGATGGGCTACACGCAAACTTCGTTACCTTCTGGTATTTGACATTGCCCATTCAAGGCGAAGACTTCGAATCTCCACAAAACACTTACTGATCGAAGTAATCATGGTAATCAAATATCTCAGTCGCACTGGGCTTGTCATCCTTGTGGAGAGAGAAAGTGAAACAGATGGCCTTTGTGCAGCCTCGGAATATTGTATTTGTCATCACCTGGTATGCAACTGAGCTAGTCAAGAGGCTTGATTCACTAAGGAAATGCAAGCAGGAAGCTTTGTATGAAATCGATATAACATGTATTCAAGCAAGCTATAGGGAATTTAGCGTCTCCGAGCTGTGCGTGTGAGCAGTGTTCTTCGCCGCGCTCAGCCTGCATTCTGTACATGTGCTTGTGAACATTCACTTAATTTCCCTTGTGTGACGTCACATTTTCATCCAGTGACACCTGATGTATCCTCCTTTTCTTATGCCAAGATCTCTTCCGTGACAGTACCAGTCAGAACCAAGCTTCCACACAGAAGTTTTAAATCCCCATCAGTAACGCACTTTTTTGTACAAGATGGCGATATGCATACATGTTATATTCAGCTGAACCTAGGAGTAATTCTTGGTACTTTTCGGCCTTGGTATCTTGGTCTTACACGTGACGACACGTGACTGACCCATTTAATAGCGTAACACTTAAATTAAACAAAGAAAAACTTGTTGGAGCTTCAAAAAAGTGTAAAAAAATCAAACTCCTAGAAAACTCCTTCAACCAACAGATGGTAATAGAAAATCCAGACCATTTTCTAGGCATGCTGTTAGTGGGAAAACTGAAAAGTCGGTATCTACAATTTTGTCAAAAATGTACTTGCGCATCACAATAAAACCTCCTATAAAGAGGAGAAATTTCTCAACGGAACCAAGATTTCACTACTTCAGCGCTCTGCCTTCAATTACCTTACAGCCATCAATCAACTCTCCAAGGTCACTTTAGCTAGCATCACCAAAGCAATGAAAAATTGACGTAGTGATTTTTGAACAAACAAGCAGCGGTTATTAGACATTTCATATCCAGGTTACATTATATTTGCATTATATTGAGCGAAAGACACATCATTCAGCCATATTCATTCAGAAAGCCTTGTGGTTTCAGTCACTTGTTGCATGTCAGCTCTCGACAAATTGCGCGCCCGCCTAGCATCGTTCGGTTAACTTCATGCGCATTTCACACGTCATTAGAAAATAGACGCGGTTGAATGAGTTGATGTCTCTACTTCCACCACTTATGTACATAACGGCTCACCACAATTGTTGTAACACGATTGGAATCTTCCAGTACGCCATCACTGACTGTGAAATCGATGCGACTCATCTTCTCTTGTATTCTTGGCTTGTAGTGTTTTGTTTATGGGCCTGTAGGGACGATTGTGTGTGTTTATAAGATTTTGCCTATTACTCTCAGATATTGCAACCACCCATGTATGAATGGGTTGCATCTTCCTGGAACCCACCCGTGACCAAGAGCTTCTTTCCAATGTCTCGCATCGGTAACTCGCAGATTGAGATTAGACGGGATACTTACCAGTTTTATCCCCCTCGTTCCTCTGCCTAACTGATGACTAGCCGATTTCAGAATAGAGAGAATTTATTCTATCAAAATGGTTCTTTCTCCCTGTTCTAAGAAATGCTTGCTTTATGGATTGACTCCATCGTTTTACTGATGCTCTAAGAAATAAATCTTCAGGACTCCGTAGCACAGTGCGTTTTTCGGGCCTCGAGTAGCAGGGATATCTTACCTATCTCCGCTCATAATTATCGGGTCAAAGCAAACTTCAGAGACCAAATCCAGCACGTTGGTTCCAGTCTTTGAGCACGCACATACACACACCACCGTAGATGTTGTTTTGCAGCGGTGCACGAAGACCTGATTTGGTGACCGACAACAACCATTTTTAACAAGGCAAATCCGTTAGGTGATCCATGTTTACAATTTGTTTACAAAATACAACACAGCGGCCAATGTGTTGTAACCTGAATCCATACTCAACTGTAGAGCAGTTGATGTGGGGTATTGGTGTCTGGTAATTGATTGTGTGGTTGTTGATCTGTTCGCAGAGCTTGGCAATTGATTTGCAAACGCCGAAGCACACTGAAGATGTCTCATCCAATGGTGACTAAGCGCTTGCAAATCAGCTGCCGCAGAGCTTGGCATTGATTTGCAAACGCCGAAGCACACTGAAGATGTCTCATCCAATGGTGACTAAGCGCTTGCAAATCAGCTGCAAACCGATCAGAAGCCACCTTATCAGTTACCAATTTATGCGCTCAAGCTACCAATATTCCAACACACCACCAACATTGGTGTTTCTTCAAGAAATTGTTCGCGGTGTCCTAAGATCGCGCTTAGTGTCCCGCTTCAACTGTACCCATTTCTTATAGGAATATTAACCATAAATCACTTGAGGTACTCAAGAGTCCTGAGATACGAGATAACCTTTGATGGGAATTCGCCTAGGTCATTATGGGAAGCAAGTACCTCACGAGTTTCTCACAAATTTATGCAACAGTCCAGTAGAGGGCACACTTTTCTATTCAGGCTATGTAATGGCTTTTCGAGAAACAAAGATGTTGAAAATTTCTAATCAATCTGCAGTGTTGATCTGTTCGAGGTTTGACGATAGCCAGTAGTTGCCTGTGATAATTACCGATCTGATCCGAAAATGCCTAGAGTAATTCTCTTTGAGCATTTCGTATTTGGCCCGATAAGCCTTGCGTTCGGCTCAGGTTAACAGACGGTACATGCGCAGGAGCGGCACCAATTATTCTTTCTACATTGCTGTTACGGCTACACAATACTACTTCTCGGGCAGGGTGGAGATAAAACACGTAGCCCGAGAGCTTTGTCGTTTCAACTTTGTCCATAAAGATTCCTTTTAGCCACTTGTTCAGCATTTCTGATTAATTTCAAAGTTGTCAGACGGGTTTATCTCCAAAATGTCGTCCAAAAATAATTTCTCTTCTCGTGAAATACACTCATTTGCAAATCGATTTGGTTCTCGGGAGAGACTCAACTGAATTTCTCGTTTATGAGTCTCTCGTGAAAGACAAATTGATTTGCAAATGAGTGTGTTTCTCGAAAACAGCCCAATTTGGGTTCAAGTAGAAAATAAGGTTGACGGAAACTCGTGGACTGCGCCTACCTGATGAGCCCCAAGAAGGGCAAAACCGGTCGTAGGCTGTTGAAGTTGTTTTAAGCACCTTGTGAGTAGTTTCTTTTATAAAAATTTCTCTTCTCCCTCAAGTTTATGAGGCTGGTTTGAATACTTCACAATTGCGCACCATGGTATAGTGCAGATAATAGTATACCGCACTTGGCGAACCGAAGCCTGTAGTCACAAAGAGTCTGCTGAATGGCGTGAAAGCACCACTAGGTTTGCATTGTGGATATCGTTCATGTATTGAAGAACTTCAGGATTTAAGCACTAGTCTACCATCAACTTATATAGTACGTGAATGTTATCGAGACCACAGCTCGTTTCCACATGTCGGCCCCCCAGCTATATTATGAATCTTAAATTTGCAGTTGGTTTCATGAAGCTAGCAATCATTGGCGACTAAATGGGCAACCACACAATAACCTCATACAAAGCGCTGTGGGGATGCACGACTCTATTACAGCCAAAACAGTTTGTACTGAGCGGTTTTCAGAAAAAACGAAAAGCGTTTGGTCATGATACGCTCATTTTACAAATTGCGTTACTCAGCTGAATTCTCGCTGAGTTCCTGGACTATGATAGTCCTAATGTGAGTGTTCTGAACAAAGATCACACGTTATTCTATATAACAGCATATTTCCTTCACATAGCACATTGTTTTAGGGTTGCTAAAATTTTTACGATCGGCCACTTCGGGTTTTTCCTTCTCGGGCGCAGTCCTTGAGTTTTCGCCAGCTTGATGTTTTACTTAACCAACGAAATCTACCCAAAAGGCGAAGTGTACTCACCCGGAAAATTAAAGTTAATGTAAGCGGGAGAATCGACTAGACCCTAGCTGAATCTTTCGTTAACACGAATCTAATCCGCAAATACATATGTCACCAGTTGGATAAGTTTCGGTGTTCAAGTCTAACATAAGGTTGTTGAAACCTTGCAGAATATGCCCGCTTGATGAATCACAAGAAGGATAAAGCCAGTAGGAGGTCACGGAAGACTTTTCAGTAACTTTTTGGATAGTGCGCATCAAAAGACCGCCACAATGACATCTGTCACTGAAAAGCTACCTTTCCTACCAAAAAAACACTAAAATATTCGGATATTTTCTGTTCTCATTTGTGCTACCAGTCAATGAGATCGTTTGCCCACTTCATTGTCTACAAAGAATCAACTGTTTTCGAAACTCAGAAATTTCTTCTCTAGCTGAGAAACGCTGTAACGCAGCACTTGACCCTCTCATTGAAACTGATGTTAATATTCAAAGTCTTGTTAACTTCAGTGCACAAGCCTTCACGTCTTTTTTCTCGGCGTTTCCAAATATTTTCTCACAGATTCCGCCCAATTTTTGCAGGAAGTATCTTAATAGTTAGCAAGGTTGTTTACCATTTTAGATCTCCTCAGCATCGATCTCCTCATAATACATTTAAGCACCAGTATCTCGCCTTGTTCAAGCTCTGGCAATGATGACAACGGTACTATCATCTAAGTGATGCAAATGAATCATCAGTCAGCTGATTCCGTGAAATTTGCTCGTGATCGATATCGCATCAGAACTCACCTAGAAATGTGTAACTTATCACTTTTTACACATTACGCCTTGCGCATCACTCATGAGAACATTTTATTTTTACGGTATTGCCAAAAACTTGTTACAATAATGGTAGTACTTCACATTCGCTTAGGGGGTTTAATAATATCCCTGCGGGTTTGCACACCTAATCTTAACAATTCGTAAGATCCCACTAACTAATTGGCCGAAGGATGATCTTGAGTAAGGGTTAGTGTGGTTACGTAGAAATGACAGATGACCGTAATATGGTTGCCCATAACCTACCAGTAAAGGAAATTTCCATGGGGTTCTCCCAGGACATTTGATTTCGTAAACTCTCCCCGAAAAGCCTATTCTAATATCATGTACGGTATCGCTGGAAAAATGGAAGCATCTCAAGTTCTTGCACGTCGGATCCCATGAATCTCCAGGCAATTTTGAGCTGGATACCCGCAAAGATAATACCCAGTCGAAACTCGCTTGAATCTCCTGTTTGCATCACAAATGAGAATGAATGGCGGATTGCACGTTAGCAACAGTATGAGTAATTAACTTGTGAATAACAAGAACTGGTCTGTAGTTGGATTCATCCTAAATCAGGCGATATTCCAAAGTTTTATGTGCCTTACTCATCGAGCTAAGCAATTTTAGGGTAGCTGACCTCCATGTATGCACTTATCGTGAACCTATTTCGTCAACGGCAGCAGACCATAAGACTCAGCTCACACTTACAGTCAACCGGTCAGCTCGATATACACTTGCTCCGATCACAGTTGCGCTTCCCCTCAGCTAGGCCTTATCAGGACACCTAACCACGACACTGAACAAATGCTTTACGGGCACAAGGCAATAAAATAACTCGACCTACTTGAGCGTAGTAACGAAGTCCCATGTGATCCGTTCGTTTCCTCGATCTCTCTTCTGAATTCTAGACGTGCCACCTCCCGTAGTCTTCATTCATCAATGCGATACCGACCGATTCTGAAACTGACAGAACAAAAGACGAGGCAAACTCGTCTAATTAGTTGCGTTTCTCTTGTCAGCATGAACTTTTTTCCTGCTATGATGGTTCTTCACCGTTTGGTTTGGAAGCTTCTATGTAAGAGATGGAAAATTTTTATCTAGTCGTGATCAAAAGATGTGTGCTTTTTAGACAAGGAGAAAAAAATTATGTTCCAGAGTGAATATCCGTTGTGCAGCAATCCTTCGTACGTTCCGAGAGCTGCATCTGACGGGTAGTTTATTTTTCGAACATGACTTGAGAGGATCAATTAGGCCAGAATGACTATTCCTCCTGAGGTTGGTTCCCGTAGCTAAACAGGGGAAATAGTTCTGTATGATATTTACTCGCAGAACGGGGTAGTTCTTCATCTTGCGATTATAACTTTTCTCTTAATAGGAAGTGTAGTTGATGAGTTATTTTCATTTTATGGGAACTCCAAAGCAACAGCCCTTTGCACATTTCCTCCAGACTGTGAAGTATGAGGTTGATGTGCTAAGATCGATCGCACTTCTCCGAGTTTGTCAGTTTTCTCCGTTTATCGGAACCAATTACCAGAGTTGCTTAGTTGGGGGGCATGACGCAGAGCTATTGCTAGATTCAACGAATGCGTTGAATGAAATAATCTCTGACTACTTACCGGCAGCCGAGTAGACAGTCTTATCTTTTCACTACCCTAATGGATGATCTGATGAGCAGTACATGCTGCGTATTCGAACACTCAGCGACTGATTTTGCTGCATCTAGCTGATGGGTCCTTATCGCGGAAAAGCGGACATCCTAATTATCAAAATCACACCTTTAAATCTGAATCTGTTTGGTTTGGAGTTTTTTAAACCTCCAAGATCGTAAAATATAGGCATATTGGCTTAACAGGGCCCCAATAGAAAGATACACCGGCTTCACCTGGGAAATTTTACCATCGATTTCGTGAGCTGATGATGAGACTAAATAGATGTGAAAGTCTCAAAACCATCACAAATTTTCGGACCAATGAGTAATTATTCTTCTGCGTTTTCATCACAGTCTCTTCCATCCGATGCTGTGTTATACGTGTCATCACAGTAATTGAGTTCCTTTCATCGAGTTCCCCATTGAGTTTATAACCGAATGAATGATTTTGTTACTCCTGTAAAACGGTCTCTCTTGTCTTACAGAATCACAGACGAATTCCTACAAAAAGGTCATCAATCAGAACGCGGACAATGGTGTAGCGATTGAAATAACTTATAAAGGTGAGTATGTAGTTCAACCAACCGACCTTGTAATACTCTCGGGGTACAGCAGTTTTAAATACCAACAAGATGAATAATAGGTTTTGTCGAAGGGGCTCACCAGCTTGAAAGTTATGAGGCACGAGGATGCAGTCTATTGGGTTATCAGTCATATATTTCGATGTTGTAGCAGAAAATATTAGTCACGAGCTGGACTGTAACCTCTACAACTACGCATGACTGCGTGATTAAAATGCCACTACAGCAATTGAAATAGTTTAGTTCCGATAAGTCGGTGGACCTTCCGTCAGAAGCTGTACAGTACAATAATCCTCACATGAGAGAAAATTTTGAAAAAGGCCAGTTCACGATACAAAACTTATCAAACAGAGGTAAAATATATCTTTATCTTCGTCGAAGTAAGAGTGAGGTTGCCTCCATTTCAAGGATACACGTTTACTCTAGTGAAGTAAATCAACATAAAAGACTCTCAGGGAAAGAAATGCTTTTTTGACGCGAAGCCTAAGGATAACGGGGTCAGAATGCCTGTCTGGCAGGACCCTTGTCATACCAGTTTCAAAATCTTAACCTAAAAACCACGTGGATCATCAGCCTTTGTCAACTAGGGATTTTTTTATGTAGGACATGCGGCAAATTTTCGTTGAAAGTCCTTAGTTTACTGGTCTGACACCTTGAAGTGACCTTTATTTGGCATTTGGTCGTCGACGGTCATTGGGTCTGAGGACATTAGTATTGTACGCACTTACATTTCCGCTAACATAAGAATGGTGCGCTATCATTCTTGAACTTACGGCCACACCTCTCTGTAGAGTGAGAACAGTAAGTGGAAACCGTCGTAAGTTTGAGAACCACGAAATGAGTTCATCAGTCATAAGTGATCCACTCAGAGTAGCTAACTACCGTATTCACTTTAAATCACTGAATCCGTGTCATATAATACGTTACTGAACAAATGAGGAGTGAGCAACCTTTGCCTTTTTAAGGCTTTCCATCACAGCTAATCATGTGCTTTCTGTATTCAGTCAGTCATAGGTAAATCAAGACAATTCCTCAGTCTGAAAGAAACGGCCAAAACTTTTGTATAAGTTCCAGGAAAATTGATGCTATTTACTGCAAGATGTTGTCAAGACCACCTGACACACAACGTGGATAAAACTAATCGAAAAGCAAATTTAAGTAGAAACAACGCTAGGCAATGTTAGGTATAAGTCTGATCGTTTGTCATAATTCCATCAAACAGTGATTTATTAGTTCCCGTGAACAAGCTTCATTGCTGCTGTCCGCTTTTCCAGGAATATGCTCGACACGTAGCTTGTTTTGCGGGAGGGGGGCATTGCATTGGGGAAATTACAATCGGTTTCAAACTTAGAAATAATTTTCGCCTGCTCAGAGAAAACCTGAGAAGGAAAAAACCGGGGACTCCGTCTGCTGAATGAGCTTCAAGAAAGGCGAAATGGGTCGTTGGCTTTCGAAGAGTTCTCAGCAAGCCTATGGGTAGTGCGCTACATATATACTTTAACAATTTCATCTTAGAGTTTCCACCGCTTTACATTTTTTCTACTAACAAAGTGCACCAAGCAAACAGGCGATATCTGATCTAATTCTGCTGTCAGTCGAACTCAACTTTCTCTACTTTTCTCAGAGTGAAATATCTTAACAGCATATTAGTTCTCTCGATAACCCGTAGGCGCGTTAAGAGTTGGACAAGGATCGTAATTTCAATCCCTCGAAGCAACATACGAAGATCTTACAAGCCTACGTCTCTGATAGAAAAATCTCTCCCTGCCCACTACATGAAACATAAGCAGTGGCAGGCACTGCTCGCTTTTCACATTCAACTCATGCATCTAGTCCACCTCTATTACAATGGCTAAGCACACCCTCGATACATATGTTGCACGAACAAAACAATGAAAGCACTATCCGCTCAAGTAAAGAGATATTTGCCACACAGTCCATCAACTAGGTCAACAATCCTTCCAAAAAGCGAGACCCCAGTGTTTTAATTCAAAGTGAACAGGCCTTTGTTCTCCACTCAACAACACTTCCCGGAAAAGTCACTCAACTATCAACCGGAAAGTGACAATTGCAAGTCATCTTGGAGATTCGTAAATGGCACAGTGCTGATGATTCCCAAGAAGGATGGACTGCATATACAATGCTATTCAGCCGTTCAGCATACAGTGATTTCACTGTATGCGATAGTAACGATGTTGAAGACCTTAATATGTGCACACTTTTATCACTGGAAAAGTAGACTGATTGGTTCTTAGCTAAACCTTCTTGGCTAAGTTATTAGTTAAGCCCATTGTCTTTACGGAACATAACACAAAACTTTTGAAAACCGCTGGGCAGCCTACTTCCAGTTTCGTCAATCTCTAAGCCCATCAGGTAGACGTAATCACCGAGTGTTCAACATCACTTCATACTTCAATACCAAGCTGGACGCAACTGACAAGGTAAACTCTGTTGCAAATTCGCAAAAGACTCACTTGAATGTATCGCTCATGATATTATGCAGCCAAATTTGATGCGCAAAGGTTGCTTTATTTTTCGTTTAGCATGATATTCGAGATATCGCAGTGCATCTTCCTTGCGAAACACTACTAAAACCAAAGTAATTTGAGACGGATCACACCTCATTGACTGTGAACGATTTGGCATCTAACGGGAAATACGTTTCGACGGATGAGCTCAAAGGACTGAACCGGTTGCGGGTTGTCGAGGAGTTTTAGCAACCTTACCAGTTGTATGTTCTGTCAAGAAGATATGCAGTGATGTCTAGACTATTGTATCACTCTAGCATATTCAGTTGGACAATATCAGAGACGTGAGATGCATTTTAGCCCTTTGTTGGCACCAGTGGAAACTGCGAATTGGTGTGTCTTGTCACAGGCTCACTGTGCTCTATCACATAATAAGTATAGCAGACTATGGTGTAAATATTGGGATTTACACGTCGCGCTTATAGAACGAAACAATCCACAGTTTTCACCACCACGGATGCCCAAATTAGAGGGAAAGATGACCAAGAATTACCAAAACACAAATATATCACCAGGTAGTATTACACCACGTAGACTCTAGGTGATCGGTGTCAAACCGTGTGGGATAGTTGTATGTATTGTGTGCTTGTGTTCAGTTTTCAGTGTTCCTGAACTCGATGTCAGGCAATCTGATCATTAGCCGGATATTTTTTCATGGTGAATTAGGGTACATCCGACAATCGATAACTTGGCACCACTGAACATGCTGACGTAGGTGGAGCTCACGTGGAAGACTACGGTTTCGATACACTATCGCTGAGCGTAGACAGCAGTATCTTATCCCAATATATCGGTGGCGTCAAATTTATCCGATACATGAAGTGCCAGCACAGAGTCTCTTTATTTGCTCAGTTCGCTGGAGTTCCTCGGAGCAGTGCGAGGATGTTGTTTGCGTTCGTTGACCCGAACCTTCATCTGTCAAATATTTGGCCCGATGTAGACACAGGCGCGCTAGGCATATGTATGGCCCGGTCTCAGTGTGAGTTTGTGTGTTCATCAATCCGGCACCCACTGGAAGCCCTTACTGTGTCTATGCTTCAACTTCTCGGGTTGGCTGCCGTGCCAAGAGTTGGAGACAGCAGTATCTCGTCAGTAAACTCAGTTTCTCGCAGAACTAATCTAATTTATCTCTCACTCTGTAAATGATGGGTGATAACATGTATTGAGCTCGTTCGATCAATGTGAGAATCACTCTTGGGTTTACGCTCAGTGGATGGGTTGAACTAAAGTTTAGGTAGCGGTTCGACTGAGATGGTCTGCATTAAATCCTTCCCTGAAAATGGTCGTCATGCAAAGGATAAAACAATAGCTCAGTGGATCTTTCTGCTTCAGCCTAATGCTGTAAAGTAAATCGGATATCTATGGTAGTTGAGTTGATGCGAGACAACAGGAAGTTAGCCACAATAAGAGAATTGCAGAGCCCACGGTAACCTCATCACTTTGCTGACATAACAGGCCTTTTACCATAAAAAATTTAGAAACCTTCGACTTTAGAAATTTTTTCAAAAGGAGGTTTGCGGCTACTGAGGGTGGGTTATGTCCAGGGAGCTTCTGACATGGTTGAAGCTGTAGGTGCACGGAGAAACTCTATCGGAGCTCATGTCCAGGTTCAATTATTCTGATGAGTCCACGCCGAAGAATGGAAGTAGTGAACTCGAGTTTTGCTCTTCTCAGGGCTCGTCAGCATTACCTGTCCTTGGCCGTGTCGGGATTCGATCTACTGACATCTGACATGCGAAGTGACTTGTCCGACAGCGCACGCTAGACGCATCTGAATTTTCACGTCTGAGGTAGGGGAATGTGTTCACGCTTGAGCGATGTGATCGCTATGTCCGACTACTCAAAGTAACACCCAGTAACTGTCCTGGTTTGGTTGATCAAGTGACCTGTATTTCAGGCAGTGCGACGGACGCTTTCAACTTGCTGGCCAACTTCCTTTCCGTTGTAGGTGGTTGCAGGGTTTGTAGAATTCATCTCCGCAAAACTCACACCATAATCAGCCCTCCTCTTGTCCCGGTGCAATTGTTCTCATGCTCTACTAACCAGAGAGGGGAAGCGCTGGAGTCAGTATTGTTATTTTTAGACTTCATCAATATTGCTTATCTCTGGTGGTGCTACCACGCCTGTTTAAACACGATTATTCAAGTGCTTCCAACGTGCGCTATAAGGAACCGGTTAGACGTTCGCTTCACACATCAGATTTATGGAGTTCAAGTCCTATAACTGCCACGGATAAGTAATGCTAACGGGCTCTTATAAGGGTCGAGTGCTTCTCTCATTTAATGTGGACTCACCAGAATGAGAACTTTAGGACAGAATGGGGACTACTCAAGCTACTCGAGCATACAGTCACCTATCAGTAATATCGGAATTCACAGGTCACTTGTACTGCTCAAAGGAACAAAATTACGGCATTTCGTAACTCTGCTAACCACAGTTCCTTGAAGAGTTAAAGATAGTGCAAATTACTTCTTTAACACGTGTCCCACGAGGTTCTGCATCTTTCTGTGCATTTTAGGTTTTGCTTGATATCACATATGAGTTGTATGCCCCAGTCAAGCATGTAATCAGTTCAAACGAGAGTGGTGTGGCTATGAACAAACATACCCATCCCGCAAAACCCAAAAAAATTGTAGTCCATTATAATTGTTTGTATGCTTCGGAAGCTTTCGTAATCTATACGGCCTCCCAGAGCTTTATGAACTGCCGTGTTACTCTCTCCAGCGGAACATTAGTTTTTAAGTGACTTGATTTCAGACTTTGTATAGATTCCTCCAGATTGTAGGTATCTGTTGCCCATCAAACTAGTGGTAGTACCCGGTTGATATCGAGACCAAAACTGGTGACAGCATCATCAGCTTTGTCTACCAGCTCACCAAATGCGCATTTTCAAGACCTGTTTTCTATTTGATTAATTAATGAAGTGGGACGTTGCTCTCTATGGAGGCGGGTGGATTTCACAATCAGCTAGTCTAAATCTACATTCCGAAGAAAGTAAAGGGGTGACATCCATAAAATACCTTCGCGAGAGTTTCAAGTTTGTCATCATTCCTATGGAATATCCAAGTCCGAAAGAATGGAACCTGTGGTTAATGAATGAGTCGTAGTTGAAAGCAAGGCTCTCCGCTGTGGAGTGTGGACCACAGGGAGTATGCCTGGTACAAATTAACCTCGAAAATTTGCGGACGGTACATTTCAAAGTGGTTACCTAGGACTCTAGCCGAAGCGTGGTGGTACTGTGAATGTGGCCTCACCTTCAGTTCCTTCATCCTTGGTATCAGGTCAGTATTCCGCCATTTGGCTGAGGTCGTGGCAGGAGATGAGCTACCTCACGCTCCGCCCTGTATCAGTGACACGTAAAATGTCCTCAGACTTGGTTTGTATCCTAGACTCCGTCCATTTGTTTTCCAGTCTGAAATGCTTTGTGAAACACTAGCACACAATGTGCCTCGTGTACACAGCACAACCTATCTCTCTGAGCTACTGTCTGAAATGCCAAGGTTTAATATGGTTGGTCTGGAAGACATAACAATAACCGTGGATCAGAGGGTTTCTCTTGTCCAAATCATGAATTCTACCGGTGAGAGGAAGAAGGTTTTCTCTGAGTAGTTATTCCTTGGAGAACGCCAACTGAACAGTCACAGACTATTGGACAGGGGAGCAAAACTCTCATATGCATCTTGTTCACAAAAACTGAATATCCATCTTCTCCTTGAACGCGTCTTCTTGTGGTTACTCAGTGACTATCACTCAAATGTAAACGAATGCTACGGAGCGATTCCACTAATTCTGTAATAAATCTCACTTTTCAATAGACGCGAAACGGATTTAAGCGAAACATACTACTCTCATGCCTCATCAGCAGTATCCACCGCTATACTGGTAATTGGATGTCACAATTTGGATGCGTGTACAAACTGGAGACAAGCATCAAGTGCATTTTCAACTTATTCGCGAGACATGAATCGAATGACAGCCAATTTTGGTGCGTCAAAGCACATAGCTTGGTAGATGGCCTTATTCGCAGAACTATTTTCCAAAAGTGTACATGGAATGAGCGACAGCTCCATTTCTCAGATTCTTTATGGATAAAACAAGCACGTCTTAGAATAAACTGTTTTGATAGAGTCCTCATGCCTCCAGTATCCACCGCTATACTGGTAATTGGATGTCACAATTTGGATGCGTGTACAAACTGGAGACAAGCATCAAGTGCATTTTCAACTTATTCGCGAGACATGAATCGAATGACAGCCAATTTTGGTGCGTCAAAGCACATAGCTTGGTAGATGGCCTTATTCGCAGAACTATTTTCCAAAAGTGTACATGGAATGAGCGACAGCTCCATTTCTCAGATTCTTTATGGATAAAACAAGCACGTCTTAGAATAAACTGTTTTGATAGAGTCAGGGGAATCTGCTTCAATGATACCACAATGGGTCAGCTCGATTATCAAACTCAGGATATCACCAAACTGGTTTTCCAGTTGAGATTAGAAAAGGAGAAGAGAGTTCAAAATTCAGGACTGTAAAACCTAATGCCACACACTGTACTGTTGCACCTCCCAGTGAGAGTAAATTATATTAGTGCCATGGCGGAACGCTGGACAAGAGTTGCCTTCCAATGCTCACACTACGTGGAAAATCCGGCCTTTCTATGTGCTTGCGAATGCACTCCGGTCGCATTAGCCCAACTAACTCAGCTTCCTTCAATCAAAACTTTACAATGTATTTCTTTGCGTTTCAGTTTTGTAATATCCATGCTTGGGTAAAACGGAGAGCCACCTTTGACGGCTAACGGATGGAAGTATGCGAATGTGACTGAGGGGGTCTGCAATCCAAACAAGGGTGTCTAGTTCCGGGATCGGTCAGCAGTCATCTAGCGCTTGAACCGTTCATCACCCTTATTAATTAGGAAGTATCCGTTAGGTGCTCACCATTGTGCTCCACATATCAGGTTGTCAGGTAGTATGGTTTGTGAGGCCTATAACCATCACGAAATTGAAGGTGGAATTCCGAAATAAATGTGTCACTGACACTGCTGTGGTACCCATGTGGCGGCTGCGATTTTCATATGCTAATGTACATCCCACAGGTGCACTCATTTGTGTACCAATTTTGTCTTCACTGGAGGCTCACCTGAATCCCAGCTGAATCTCTGCTTTTTTATGTTCTTCAACTGCGTGTGCTCCACAGAGGTCGCCTTATTTTTCGGTTGGTACGGCGAGATATCGCCATGCACCGTATAAAAGTAAGTTTGCTGAAAGTTGTCCTACAGCCCACGGCCGGTATCATCCCTCTTGTGGCTTGTCAGGTGGACGCATTACCCGAGTTGCCTTCAACTGTTGTTGTTGTACTTGAACACAAACTGCTATTTAGATGATTGCGTTTATCGAATTGCGTGCAATTATAGTTCACGTAGAACATACGCTTAATGGAGGCTCTGGTGGCTACTTGATGAGCCCCAGGAGAGGCAAAACCGGCCGTGGGCTGTAGAAGACTTTTCAGCAACCTCATGAGTAGTGGGTTATATCCATGCTAAAGTGCGCCTTTTTCACTTGCTTATTTTGGTTATTCTACAGTTCCCCGGAATAACTCACCTAGGTTGCACGGAATCAATGTTTTGACTTGTGATACCCGAGTACTCTTGACTCACTTTCGAGTCATCCGGAAAAATTGGTCCTTTGATTTATCTGTGACATTGGCACGCACACTGGTATCTATATCAATGTGATCACGTGGATTCACGAGCTTCCGAGTCAGTGTTGCAGCGTTTTCGAGTTTTCCTCATACTGACTTTCAACTAAAGTTACTGCTATTTCTGCTACATTGGAGAAGACTGCTAAGCAATACGACGTCCAACTAGACGTTTCATTCTTTTCTGAAGTTAAATTTTTGCATTGATCTCCTTCTTCTCCTACAAAATTGAATGCGTATGAGAAAAACATGTTCCATTTTAAGGCATGGTAGAGCATTGGAGGTAATTCATATCGTCACGCTCGTATCAGACTGTTCAACACAGCTATTTTTAGTACCACCCGAATCGTTTACTTTACAGATGACCATCGGACGTCCAAGAGACCACTAGAACAGCCACGGCTTCAAGAAGTGAAGCAGCAGTATACATCAAGGACGGCATTACTATCCAGTAAGTAGAGTAGTTTTGATCAGTTCCTCTCTCGATATGCATTAAGCCACTATTTATACATTCCAAAGGGCCTCAGACTGTACTTAGCATTAGGCCGAAACGTGCTCCGTTCGAGGTGACTTCAAAAAAGCATTCCATAATGAAGTAGCGTAGCCCTCCTCTCCTCTACACGTGAACACACTCGTTCAGTCAAATTATCAGTTCCTTCACAAGATTTTGGGCAAACTGAACTCAAAGGAGCTGTCCCAGTGACTCGAATTGATAACTCCCTGTATTCCAAAAATTCAAAGGTTCTCAGAAAGTAACCAGCGACCGCTACCCGATTAAATTCCAAATGCGAAGCCCTCTCGAAAACCAAGTAAGCCATTCGTCTACCCATGTGTAGAGAGGTCGTCAGAATGAATCACCAGTCAGTTGACGCAAGCGGGGATTATAAAGCTGAACAAGCCAGCTACACCAATGCGTTTCATAAATGCATGATCCGCGGTTTGAAATTGATCATCTGGTAATTTTCATGTAACTGAGCTTTTTAAGAACCATTTCTGGTTTTACTTTAGGTTCATCTGTGATGCATATTGAGCAACTACCGCAATCTGAGCGGTTCAGTACAAAGGCATATAATGGACCGGTTAAAGGTAAGTGGTGTATTACTTCATGGTGAATCTGTATTAAATGGGAGCTTATTTGGTGGCCATGAGCAGAATAAATATTGATTTCCTTTTTGCGCTCCCCCACAGCCGTCCAAGGAGGATGAGGAATACATTTGCATTACAGCCTATTTTTATAGTTTTAGGCAAAGTTGTCTAAAGTCATTGGAAAGCCTGCCTAGATGAGTACTGGATACATCTCTCCAATGTAGCTATGGGCGGGATGTGGGGTTTAAATTAATGGCCATCCGAGATGTTTGATCCATAAAAGACACAGATCTCCGCTGCAAATTGATAGAATGGCTTACCTAACTAAAGTCTGAGCCACTGCGCGTTTTTATTGCTGCATTAAATTTACTTTAGAGACTTCGTCAGGGATGGTATCCATCTCACGATTCAAAAAATTGAAAATAGCATTAATTTTTGCTCTTGATCTTAGCAAGCCTGAGGACCCAATACTGTCTCAACACATTCGACTACCGTAAGTAACGTAACAAGAATGATAAGAAGCCATAAACATAAAACATCCATAAAGAGTGTCCCCAGATAAGCCATTTTCGAACGAAGTGCACTGAGACTTTGTTTGGAAAGAGGCTGTAGAACAATTTTGGTAAATATCGAAATCCCTCAAGAATGAATGAACAAAGCTTTTTGGACCATATCTCGGCTCGCAGCAAGGCTTAAAGAATTGTGTTATTCGCCATTTTCCAGAAGTGAGATTCTGCGTAGGAACTGCTCCGAAAACCCGCAAAATTACATCAAACATTCCACATGATTCTGCCATCGGCCATCTAAAATATCCATAATCCAATTTGGTGCAAGAAAGCGTATTCAGGATTGATCCCTAACTTGAAAATTTGCCAAATTGATCATATTTAATGGTGCCCTTAATGTGATTGGAGAAATCACAGGCTTCAGTCCAGTTTGTGTACCTTTACAATCACCTAATGATTTCTTTCTTTCTGATCTTTGTAATTCCAGCTGGTTTTAAAAAACCTGGATAATTGGTGGTTGATCACTTGGCAGTTGATCTGTTCGCCGAGCTTGGCAGCTCGTCAGTGCGCACTTACGATGTCTCCTCGACGGAGGACGAGACGTTTACAAGCCAATTGCCAAGCTCGGCGAACAGATCAACTGCCAAGTGATCAACCACCAATTATCCAGGTTTTTTAAAACCAGCTGGAATTACAAAGAATACATGTGACCTTGGTCTGTTTTTTATGATACACCGACAGTGTTTTCAGACATCAGTACACCGCAGTTCATTCTGACATTTGCGGGCTGTGAGCAATTTTGCATTTCCCAGAACAGATAAACGAACATAATCACGACTACTATCACTTCGAATACACCAGGTTATATGCTACGTGCGTCAGGAAAAGCATATTCTTAATGTAGGAAAGGTGTGTTCAAATTTCTTAGCTCTCGGTTTGGCATAGATATGTTGCAGAAAATGAGTTTTCAACACCAGACCCATTTGGGACCAGGACAAAAACTAATCGACCAGAAGCCTTTAACCAAGCATATCATCGAAACCTTTGTTGTTGTTGTTGTTTCTCACTCTATCGAAGGTCGCTGGAATGCTTAGTAAGCCTATTACAGCGCACCTGAATCTACCTATCATTTCCAAACTATCCAAAGGACGCCTTCAATTGTTCTGGGCGATACAAGGGACGTCAGTGAGGTTCCTAAAGTGGCCAGCAATGACTATTAAGACGCTACTCGTCAGTGAGCGGACTGTCAGACAATGTGACTCTTATTCTAATTTACAATTATAGAGATCACTCAGCTTAGTGCTGTCGGAATAATTTTCTCTCCTGTGTATAGGGTGTTTTGCTATCACACTTGTTCCATGAAACGAGAGAATGACGACGTGATAGTCATGATCTTTGGATCCCTATTTTTGACAACGGTGGAAATCACATTGTGCTTCCAATCCTCCGCAAATTTATCGATATCTCGAAAGGAACTGTTGATTAAATCTTGGCATTCCTACACGTGCCCGGCTGTTACATTTCATCGGGAAAAAGTTTAAAACTGTGAATGCCTCCATATCTCCGGTCTAGTATCAGTTTCCTGCAAGTGTGGCACGGTGAGGAACCTAGTTCATACGATTTCGAAAAGCTGACTTGACAAAGGTTTGCAAGGAGAAGAGGAATTCTCAAGCGGATCTCGCCACAAAATTGGTATCTTAATAAAGTCGTATGACGCCTACGCCGATAGCTTTCAAATGAGACCACACGTTTTTCTATGTGGGGCAGAGATTGATTACCACACTCAGTTCTAATTACTCAGCTTCCCGCTGACAAACTGATTGAGAACTCACGCCATTTCTATAGCACTTCCTTGCTCATGCGTTCAGTCCGTCCACCTGCGGCGTTTTCGGTGACAATCACTGGTAAAATCTACTCGCTCCTCTCACAGATGATAACCTATAACCTGTAGAAGAACGCTTTGTACTTCATGCAGCAGCTGAGACTAAAACGTTGATCAGCGCCCCACAGCTTACCTTAATCGAATGCCAACCACATGTCAAGTGCGAGCAGTTCAGCAGACACCAACTGATTACTCATCATCGTATCAAAAAATCCAAACCACTGAGTGTCCAGCAATCAGGGGAACATTACTTACTGAAATGAATAAACCGGTACAGCACTGTCCACAACTGGCGAAAACAGTAAGCCGACAATTCCATCCCATCCTCACCGCCATTCAGGCAGTCTGACTCTACGGCTTTTCGACTATGTTGGTAATACAATGTTTACTTGGGAAGGCATATCATGTTGAAAATCGATGGAAGGAAATAATATCTCATCAAGTGAAGGATTTTTGAACTTAAGGCAAGCCTTCGGTTGACGGATTAAAAGTCCTCAATCAGGTACCCAGGCAGATTAACATTCACGACAAGCTAATGCTAAGGCTTCTGGAAAAATATGTGAAACTCATGGGGTTCCATCGTCCCCCATGTGTTGTAATTCAGTTGTGATGACCTTTTATATCGTTCGCATGCGCGGACTATGTTTTTTTATCTGGTTTATATGTAGTTGGGACTTACACAATTGTTAGAACCATAGACTTGCTCAGAATGACGTAATGCTTTTCAAACGCAAGAGCTAGCCAACACCCGATTTGTTAAGACTTCGGATTATCAACCCTATGCCTAACCTGTCAACTCGAGATTCAGGTTCAATTTTCCCCAGACACATTTAACAGGTTTTCTTATAAACAGAGTGTAACTGCTACTTATCATCACACTCCATAAGAGGGATTTCTGGTCTGCACTTGCTTTTCGCCACTAATCTTTTCATCCTTCGATAACGCACAGCTCGTCCACACTGTCACCTCTCGCACCAAACTCGACGTAAGGCAGCTTCCATCGCAGACCACCCAGGAGCTCCTCAAATATGCGGTGGCCCATACAGAAAAGATTCACCGCAGCGGCTTATTTATTGGGCGATGGGACCGTTTTAGTTTAGCTCCAGTACATGGAGCTCTCCAACTCAACAAATGAACATGTGCATTTATACCTATAACGCTAATCCTAGTTCTTAGCCGTTGCATTTTATAACTTTTTTGGTTCTCTTATACAGACTTGTGATATTCGCCTTCAGTTAGACCTTATGGTCATTCACTTTTGGTTCGAAGTCGGTCTCGTCAGATACTTTGAATCCCAGTAGATTTAAAGTAGTCTCCTGTTGCCATAATGTCATTCTCAGGGGTGAGACGGTATCTAACAGAAAACAACGGTGCTGTGGTCAGAGGATAAACATAGACGAAATTCCGGGTTTGGACAACATTTTCGAAGATAGATTTGTCCGAAATAGAAGATTGGACAAACATGTGTAAAACATTCCTTTGCAATATTCTTCTGTTGTAAGGTCGGTGTGCACTGTCAATATGCAGTCATTCTTATGTGTATATAAGAGAGAGTCCAAAAATACGAAGCAGCCGAAAAACCTCAGTATGGATTGCTGTCTTGCAAAAAATGTTTTTCACTATGAGAAAATCGAGATAAACTCAGTCATTACTGACAGCATGATCTCTGAGTATACCTTCGTGCGAAACCATTCCTGTGATGAAAATATACTCTGGAAAACGTGATACGACTGTGTATATATCCAGATATAAGTTGGTGTACATTTGGAGCAGGCTTATATTGTACGTTTTTATAATATGTGAAATATGAATATACGCACGTATGCGTTAACATACATATGAATATCAAAATATACATAGATAATGTGTAACATATTACTTATAATGCTGCGCAAGGTGATTCAACGGATCATCACCTCAGCAGAACTACTTCACTAATATGGAGTCTAAAGCAGTTCGTATATGTTAAGTGAGTATTTGAGTGCCAAACATAGGGCTTTGAAAGATTCAACGCGACTAACTGCGGCCGTTTTGTGAGATACAAATAAACTGTCGATGAAGCTGTTGCGTAAAGTTCCTTAGCTATTCCGACTTTATCAGTTATTCAACCGACTTAAATGGAATCAAAACCGACCAGTTCAAATTAAGCTCTGACTGACGCTTATCAGAACTGTCTTTCTTCGTTTTCTAGTCTTGTTAATATCTGATTATCTAATGAGCCCTGAATTAACTGTTTTCATGGCACTCACCCAATGAAGACCTCTTGCTCGAGGTCAGTCAGGAACTTTCGACAGTGAAGTGGCGGAGGGAAGACCAAACTACTCGGAAGGACCATTTAATGAGACAAGTCCTAGAGACCACGTTTTCAGAAATCGGGTGATATAAAATGCCTGGCTATGGCGATACAGGATGTACGCGTTTCACTTTCATCTGATGATACTAGGCGCCTAACCAGATGAATGCATTTAACATACGTATGTTTAGGCTATGTCTAAGTTTGGATCCAGTCTCGATGAATCTGGTTAGATCCAGATTGACGAAAATGTTTTGCCACCAAGTGATGACAAGCATGCCTCAATGTAACCAACTAGAATTAGCAGCGCCA